AATATCAGCAACAAAACTAAAATGTAAAAAAGCAATTTGTGGGAGTGAAGATGAGGGCGCATTTACTTAACTGACACATTTTATCTGTAATATTTTTTTAATATTGATTAATATTTTTTGAATAACACTCTTTCAATTGACGTGACGTAAAGGCATATCTTCGGAGATGTGTTTTTACGGAATTCTGCTGACTCGGATGCTTCGTGTGGAAGACGATCTCCGGAGACGCGTCTTTCATTTGGGTTCTACTGAGTCAGATGCCACGATGATATTTCTTTTAATAATAAAGATTTTATTTTTATTATTATTATAAATAATTAATATGTTATGTAAAGTGTTTCGATTATAATTTAAGAATTATTAAATGTATTTTTTAAATGTATGAAATTATTTAAATGTTATCAATCTAGTCATTTGTTATCAATATTTAAAGAAAATATTGATGCATAAGTTAATAAAATTAGTATAATTACACATTTAATCTTCAATAGTTACATATTTTATCAATTTAGTCTTACTTTTAATTTGTTGGAGAATTTGAGTATATAAGAGAGGAGAAATGATTTGGTGTGAAGAATAGGAAAGGTTGAGGGGGTTTATATAGGGGAGGAGGAGGGGTAGTTGGGGAAAAACGGATGGCGCAAAGACGCGTCCCCGGGGATGCGCATTCCACACGTGATATCCAAGTCATCAGAATCCCGGGAAAGCGCATCCCCGAAGATGCGTCTTTGCGCCACGTCAGCCAAATGGTGCTACTTCGAAAATATTGTCAACGAATGTTAAACTAAAAGTATTACAGACAAAAGGTGTCAGTTAAGTAAATGCAGTAAGGAGGTGGACGTACAGTTGCTGAAACTAGCAGAGAATTTGCCAATAGAAACAGCAGCAGAGCTTTGAAAGCCATCGGTGAGAAAAATGCTCACACTATCCTCGAGTGCAATGGTTGGACACTCAGTGGTGGTTGAAATAGAGTTTGCAGCTGTAAAATTAGTTTGGTTTGATAAATGCCGCTGCTTCCCAGCTTTTCACCGATAAAGGCCTTGATCCATCATTATATGATATTGGTATCATGTTTATGTTATTATTAATCAAATAATTATGCTCCTTTGTGTTGATATAAAAGTTTGAAAGAGGAAGGTTCAACCCCACTTTTCCCAAGAGAGTGCCATATTCATACACGAGGTCTGACAATTTAAGACTTTGGGTCAGATCTAAAATTGCTAATATGATACGACAAAACTACATATGTAAAAAAAAAACACCACATAAATTGAATATGTTATTATTACATATGTAATAACTATACAGATTTAGGAGACTCATTTCATTCATCCAATCCCTAAAAGAACAGAATATTGAAGCAACACTAGTCTAAACCAGGTCAAAAAAGAAACCCAAGGCTTGACTCTATCCTTGAGTATTAAACTACAATCCATAGGGGTGATTTGATTTTTAAAACATGGAAAACGGTGACATGGGATGCTTATTTTGGGAAAGGAAGGAAGGAGATAATGAATGAAAATTGTTTGGTAATGCGACAAAAAATCTATCAAATCTTCTTCATGGCTGAGGTCCCTTTTCTCAGAACTTGCCATGTGGATCCTAACTTTACGTCTTATTTTATGTACACAGTCTCGATGACCGAGTACTGCATATCACTAGAACAATGTATGTATCCATGCACACATGTATTTCTACTCAAAGTATCATCTACTGAATGCTTTTTTATTATCACTAAAGCAATCCATTAGGGACATCGAACATGACTTAATTGAATGTTGAAATGAATTACCCTAAATAATAACAAGTAGGAAGAAACAAAAATTTCATTACATACGTTATGGTTTTGGTTATGGTTGGTATTAAGATCCATACTTTTTTTGAGCAATGTGAATGATGATAAAATACATTACCTCAAACCGTAGGGAATGGTATTTATTGAGACAGGCAATAAGACAAATGTGTACTGCTACCATCATTTCTACATGTCATGCGCAAGATTAAGGTCGTATTGTATCTACGTTGTCTGTTTCTTGACCGACCTCCCACGCGCCTCCGACGTTGTCTATTTCATTTCTGTATTACTTTAAAACGTTTAATTTTAAATTTGAAGTCTCGAGTCATCCATGTGATCAGAATGTGACTTTGTATTTCTGATTAGATTAGGTAAAAGAATAGCTGTTGCTAAGAACATCACCGCCTACATTTCCATTTCCTCCATCAAGAATGGAAATTAGAAAGGCTCTCACTTTAAATCATGAATGCAGCTCAAGTTTATTGAACTCAACTCGGTAATAAAGCAAAGGCTTATATATCATTTTGAATATTTTTTCTCCATCAAGAATATCATCTTTTTTCATGTTACCATTCCTGAATAGTTGAATCAAAATCTAAATACGAGATCTACACAAGAATGTCTTCTTCATCATCGAAACTCAGATTCAATGTTTGTAACTTGAATCCTGCACCCTGTATGAGCTCGACCAAATTGGATGCCACTCCGGTGGCTTGGACTGTTGTCTGTTTCACTAACTGAGAAAGAGATTAAAAGGGTCATTTTCTATGTCATAAATACTGACACTTAAAATCGGAATGAACCAAACTCGATGAATGACCGGGATGGGGAAAAGAAAGTGTATGACCCTTGATACTAAGTTGGGAGCAAAGGGTCTCATCATGAATACAGGAAAAGTGATCATTTTGTTATAATTTTTGTTTATTTGACTATGAACTTGAGCTTTATGACCCCGTAGATCAAAGGTGCTCATGGGAAGTGATCTGAAATCTTAAATACAATACATGTGTCAAGCACCAATGACAAGAACACTAACCTCAACAGTGCCGATACCCTCAAGGACTTGAACCTTCAAGTTGGAAACGCCTTCAGCTCCCTACAAGAAACAAATAAATCATCCCATCAGATTCAATTATAATTAAGACTCCAAACAAAGTCATAATTAGCTGTACAATTAAACAGACATAATTAGTTTTTCCTGTTTTCTTTTCAGTGAGAGATAATACATGGCAATTATGTGAAATCTTTTCCTCTAGAAGAAACCATTTTCTAAGGGATTGAGTGATAGACACTAGACTAAGATCGGGGTTCCGGTCATTCCGGATGAAATAAGAAGTTAGATTCCTCCCCGTCATTCAATTTGAAGATAAATCTATCAAGCTGCCTATCGAAAACGATCAATTTCGCTTGCAAAAGATAAATGTTGTTGCTGTAAGTTGCTTGGAAATTAAAAGGCCAATTGTACCTCTAGTGCCTTGGTAACCTTTGGAATTTCAGCTTCATTCAACATTCCATCTGCCTTCAAACAATCAAGATTGATTAATAGTGACCTATGAATGAATGGTTCCAAGGGAAGAAATTTGCAGAGAAATATACATATAACCATGTATACAATTTCAACCAAAAGTAGTCAATGGAACAAATTTCTGCTTAATTTCAAGAATTCAAACTCTATGCATTAAGTAATAAAAAGGTACCAGCTCTGAACCAGCAACAAATAGTTAAACATTTAAGCGTAACTAAGAAGTTCAAAATCCAGCATCATCTAAAGCAACCTTTTGACAAATACAATTACAATTAATAAAAAACTAAAAAAAAAATGAACTTTTACACAATTAAGTATCAAAATAAAACTTAGAACCCCAACTTAATTCACTCAACCGACAAAATTCCATTGCATGAACAGAGGGACTGTGATAGTTCACATATAAAAGAAGCCAGCTCTTTTTATAAAAAAAAAACAAGCCAGCTCTGAATCACCATTGTTCAATTTTCTTTTTCGGAGACCAAAATAGCATAAAAATACAGAAATAGTATATATATATATATATATATATGAAAATCCAATACCTGGAAGTACATTCTGAGAGTGTCTGAAGGAGAGACGGGAACAGAAACCGAGTCTTGTTGCTCAGCAACAGCAGGTTCCTCTTGTTCGGAAACAGCTGTTTCTTCTTCAGCAGACTTGAGTTTCCAAATCCCATAAAGAGTTTTGGCCTTTATGGAGTATAAGGATAAGCTGTTGGAAGAAAAAGGGCAGACTTTCTTCTGAAAAAGGATGGAATTAGGATAAAAGGAGAGATTTTCTGGAGATTTAAAATGGGTTTTGGGGATTAAACGTAAAGGGGTTGAAAATGCAGAGACTGTTGCCATATCTTTCCTTTGTTCTTCAAATTTCTGCTTTTGGATGAGATGTAAGAACTGTGACGTGGAACAGAAAGGATTGAGTTTTTTTATCCGAATCCGAGTACTGAAGAAGAGTAGCTCTTCTTTTGGTTATGTTTTGGGCTCTCTCTTCTCTTCCATATCCATCGGGAAAAGGGTTTATTATTCTGTCCATGTTTGGCCCAGACTTTCGGTATGAATTGGACAAGGGCCATTCTTTCTTTATAGAACCTTAGATGTTTTAGATGCATTCATACAAATCGATATAAATTTTGATATTTTTCATATTTATTATTATTATCTTTATTTGTTTATTTCTCAACTCATATTGATGTTTGGATGAAAATAAACCAACCATACAAACACAATATAAAAAGATAACCAAGTTATTTCAACTTGAATATGACTGTCAAATTAAAATATATATTGGCCATTAAAATGTTGAGGGCTATTTTTCCTCGTGTAATTGAGGGTATTTGGAAATACGTGTGCTTCGAGCGAAACATAAAGAAAGAACTCCCAATAACAATAATGTAGAGAACAGTGGAACGTATCGACACGCACATCAATCAAAAGGGAAACTTCTAAGCAATTATCTTCTATTATCAGTTAATGCAACAATAAGCGATGGATCCAATTGTATGTCTTTATCACACAATGATCATCCTTGAAAGCAAGCATGCAGTACGAGGAATTTTGAGTCTCCAACAGCTCCTATTCTCCATGTAAAACCATTGCATCTCATCACTGCAATTTCTGAATAAACTAGAGTTATGTACGCGATATTAAACTAAAACATTCAAGAATTTTTGGTTAGATAAAAATTTTAAGATGAATTAGCCCACCAATAAGTCCTCTAGATGTTGTAAAATAATCGTTTCTGATTGTAAGTTTCGTCTCAAAGTTTAGGCATGCTTTTTAGTCGTCATAGATAACTCTCCGCTGGCAATATCTTCAGTAACTTGGCAAGGTCATAAGACTTGAAGTCCTTCCCATAGCACAAGCTTATATCCAAGGCAGTTTTCCCATCCTGAAATGCGGCAACTCTAGACCATCAAATTTACATTCATCAATAGAAGAAAGCTATATGTTACTCAGGTTCAGTACATCGGTGTTCGAGACGAATATGCTTTCATTTTTTTTTAGAGAATGCATCATGAGTTTCAAGCATAAATACTTCTAGAAAAACAAAGAGTCGGGGTAACAAAGGTATAAAGGAAAACTGCATGATTCATGTTTCATTGCCATGACCATCACCATTTGATGGCAAAATAGCAGGACAATGATACATTATTTATCAACAAGTGGAAAAAAATAGTGCTGAGATATACAAGAAAACAGAAAACAAAGTAAGAACATTTATTCATTATACAAATCAGAAATTAACATAAATGTGAACCGTAAGGAAAAGTTTAGAACTAAGCAGCCCCTTGTACGGAGTTTATAGCTACTAGTTATAAAGAAAACTAGGCATTATATATCCGAATAGGGCTTCTCAATGTTATTTGGACTTAGGTGTATCTGATATGCGCATGTGCCCAACATGGGTATTTTCAATGTATTTGAGAGTTCTTTAGAAGGTTATTTCCACTTACTTTTTACCAAATATGTGTCAGACAGACATGGGCATTAAAAAACAAAATGAGAAGTTGGAAGAACATAGGAGCTCCCTACATCCTCGAACAAATATTCAACAACATTGAACACGGAAGAGAAAAAATACATGAGATTGTCACTATATTGGTTACCTTGTTTTTTCTGGTCTTATCTGCACCATTGATCAACAAAACTTTTGCTATATCTCTATTTCTACTTTGCACAGCAATGTGCAATGGTGTCCATCCATCCTGTAAGAAGGGGTTGCTAAAGAACTTAGAAGCAAAGCGACAAGCAAGATACAATATAAGTGTCAAGAAAGTTTATGAGCAACTCACTCTATCGGCAACATTGACATCAACATCGTATTTCAGCAATAATTTCACAGTTTGCAAAGCACCAACATGAACTGCATAATGAAGTGGGGTAGCACCATCCTGTTATTGGGATAAAGAGATTCAAGTTTAATATTTGTAAGAACAGAACAAGAAGCAGCAACGAGTTTATTATAACAAAATGTTACCTCACCTTATCTTTGACATGCGGATTTGCACCTTTTCGTAAAAGATGACTGATCACAGCCTCCTTTTTACCAATAATTGCCTTATGAAGAGCAGTGTGACCATCCTGTCTCATCATACCGCAATTAGGTGTTGTATGCTAGAAACTGGCTAACCGAGAGTTTAGATATTAAATTTTGGTATGAATAAGATCTACCTTATCCACCTCATCTATGTTTAGCCCATCTTCAAGTAGCTTATCCATAGAATGTATCTGCAATGATAGTGCAAGAGTTTGAAGTGGCTTCCATTTGGCCTGCAAATTCGGGTCACAAGAAATTAAATGATCAGTCCATAAAAATGTTATGGAGACTTGAAAATAAAACTGTTATATAAAGAAACAAGAAAGTATTCAAAATTACGGTCAATATTTTCCTCAGGTTAGGAGAGGCATTCTGCTGAAGAATTGCTTTTTCTTCAGGTCCCAAAAGCTGCTCAACCTCTGCAAATGATCAAACATCCTTATACAGTTCATATTTGGTAAAGATGATATATAGGAGAACACATAAAAAGTAGTTATATCACAAGGATATCTGACAAGTACATCGAAGAAGTCAACCAGTGCAAATGAATTAAAGATACAACTCCAAGCTTTCCCGGAAAAAACCAGAAATCGGATTATGGTCAATTATAATAGTTTGAAGGATTAAGAATCACGCTGCAATATCAGTCATCAACCAACTAGATACCAGCTGGGTCTAAATGGAGACTATTAATTAAACAAAGATTACATCTTCATACACAAAGAGGAAATTATATTATGGATCAGAATAAATATATAATTTTGCACCAGTTGTTTTCAGATTCGTAAAAGATGATAAAACTGTAAATCTCCCTACCCAACACAAAAAGGATAGGAATTTTTTTTCCTCGTGATTTACTCGAAAAGAATTAAATCATAAGAGGTTTTGAATCAATAAAAGCAACATCTTTACCTATTTTATTTGGACTCGACTATAAGTATCAAATAGGTGTATGAATCTGACACAAGAAAGTTAAATTATTTTTCTAAGTTTTCCATTTATTTGGAGAATTTCAGAAGATCACTTTCTGATATAGGTCCAAATATGCATTGGACACCGATGTCAGATGAGGGCAAAAAAAAAAGAAAAGAGTAAAAGCAATGTAGATTACAATTCAATGAATCCCCTTCATGGCCACTCATTTAAACTGGAATTTTAATGACTATCACCACAAGAATCGTTGTCAAGTCTCGCTCAAATCGCCACATTCTAATTTCAGATTTTGGGGGCATATGAAATAACAAGGTATGTACATATCTTTTACACAAGGATCGAATATAACGTGCAGAATCACTAAATATGACCTCAAGCCTGGTTAGAGAACCCAAATTACTTAGGGAATCATCATGGAATCTAGGTAGTTACTAAACAACTGCTCAGAATACCAAATTAAATAATAAAAACAAACAAAATTCCAATATAAGGTCTAATAAAACAAAACAATTGTTTACAGAAGTATGTTCATTTCCAATAGAGGAAATAAACCCACCTTTGATCAGATCTTCCTCATACTGATTCGTTGTATAGTTATCAATAACCCCAACAGGATTTCCTTGTTGAAAACCAGACCCATAATCCTCTTTCTCCATTTCTTCTTCTACATAATTATCGTCATCATCTTCATATTCACTTGCACTTCCATCATCTGGGTCTTCCCACATTCCATCTGCCTTCAAACAATCAAGACTGATTAATAGTGACCTATGAATGAATAGTTCCAAGGGAAGAAATTTGCAGAGAACTATACATATAACCATATAGACAATTTCAAGCAAGACTAGTCAATGAAACCAATTTCTTCTTAATTTCAAGAATTCAAACTCTATGCATTAAGTAATAGAAAGATGCTCCCCTATTAGAGATTCTTTATATATCACAAAACATTATACATTTTTTCCAGAATTCAGTAATAACTAGTTAAACATTTAAGCATAACTGAGAAAGAAGTTCAAAATCTAGCATTATCTAAATCAACCTTTTGACAAATATAATAACAACTCCCAATTACTTGACAAAAAACTAAAAAACAAAAGTGAACTTTTACATGATTAACAAATTAAAACTTAGAACCTCAACTTAATTCACTCAACCGATAAAATTCCATTGCATGAACAGAAGGACTTTGATAGTTCACATATAAAAGAAGCCAGCTCTGAATCACCATAGTTCAATTTCCTTTTTCGCAGACCAAAATAGCATAAAAATACAGAAATGATATATATATAAAAGGAAAACCGATACCTGGAAGTACGTTATGTGAGTGTCTGAATGAGAGAGAGGAACAGAAACCGAGTCTTGTTGCTCAGCAACAGCAGGTTCCTCTTGTTCGGAAACAACCGTTTCTCCTTCTTCAGCAGACTTGAGTTTCCAAGCCCCATAAAGAGTTTTGGTCTTTATGGATGATAACGATAAGCTGTTGGAAGAAAAGGAGCAAACTTTCGTCTGAAAAAGAATGGAATTAGGATAAAAGGAGAGATATTCGGGAGATTTAAAATGGGTTTTGGAGATTAAACGTAAAGGAGTTGAAAGTGCAGAGACTGTTGCCATTTCTTTCATTTGTTCTTCAAATTTCTGCTTTTGGATGAGAAGCACTGTGAAGTGGAACAGGAAGGACAGTTTATTGTATTATCCGAATCCGAGTTTTGAAGAAGATGGGTTCTTCTTTAGGTTATGTTTCTTTCTTTGTTGGGCTCCCTCTTCTTCCGTATCCATTTGAGAAAGGGGTTTATTATGTCCATGTTTGGACTAGACTTTCGGTATGAATTGGACAAGCGCCGTTCTTTCTTTATAAACCGTTAGATAATATTTTTGATGCATTTGTATAAGAAGGATTTAAGTATCATACATCGTTGTTCGCTATTAATATTAAGGTAAATTATATGTTTAGTATCTACACAATTTTTTTAGTATTTATTTTTTTTAAATCATATTTAACGATTAGTTTAGATTTTAATTTGGTTCCATAACAAAAATATTAATGAGTATTGAACTAGAAGATAAATGATGTTTCAACTAAAAACTTTTAACTACATGCTCTATAAACTATTAATAGAATACATGTTTTAAAATACAATGTATATATAATTATTTAGATTTATATTCTTTTATAAATTAAATGATAATGTGATTTTCAATATACTCTAACTCACAACTTTAATTAATGAAATATAATGTTTATCTAACTATATAAAATTAGAATTTATGTTCTAATTTTTTTCTTTCAAATAATATCTACTTTAAAGTTCAAACAAATATGGGTATATTATTTTATATTAGGAGGACAGACTTTCAAAATTTTAGGAATGGATGAACTTACACAATTCTAAGAAATGAAAAAATGTTATCAATAAATAATACAATAAATATCATGTAACACCCTCATATCGATACGGGCGATCTGATCCGATCTAAGGTATCACATTAGGGCCATCGGAGCGACCCTGACTGAAAATCCTAAAAATTTTAAATTTTTTGTTAATTCATTTAAAACTGTAAAATAATTTACAAATAAAATACAAATTCAAAAAATTATTTATATATTGAAAATATAATTCAATAATATCTAATAATAAAACAAGTTTCAGACTCGAATATAAAAACAGAATACAACCTATATGCCCCCTAATTATATGCAACGTACTTCGCATGCAACGTACTCCGCAAGGAACACCGGTGGAACTCCTTTACTGATGTCGATAAAAGCACATGATCAATCTCTTTAACCTGAAATGATAAGTAACAAAGTGAGCTTTGGAAGTTCAGTAATACAGAACTACCAGATGAATGCAATAGGCCATCGGGTATAAGGTAACTCATAAATTTTCTTAACGATACAAACATCATCAGGTTCTAGCGGTGAGTTCAAATTCATTAATTAGTTTTCTAGGTAACAGTCGAGAAATTTATAGTGTGAAGGGAACGTTTAAAGAAACATATTCAGGAGACTAAGAGGATGAGTCTAATGTGTTCCAACAAAACCAAAGAAAGTGTATTGATCTGTAACACCCATAACCCGTATAATTATACCTATACAGATTATAGATGTTATACGATTTTTTTAAAAGCATTTTCCAATTCAAAAGCAATTTGCAATTTATTTTCTTAAAATGGTAAATGATATTATAAAAAAAATATCACATAATATAAATCATGTTTTGTTGTAACCAATTCAATTCAAAAGATTTTTTTATGAATAGTGAACAGTACCCGTGAACAATGAACAGTGGGGGAATCGGTTCCCTTTTTACATACTGAAAGTTTTTTGCTAATTCGTGGTTATTGTTCATTGCTACAGTAACTGCTACCGTGAGCTACAATAACTGCTACAGTATTTTCGAAAATACATATAAATTTATAAAATTCCATTTTGTTTCCAATTTTGTTCAACAAAACAAATAAAACATAATAATTACATGCCACTAATTAAGTTACATTACATCTTAGGATGTCTTACTGATATAGAAATATATTTCTTGATACTTGATTTCGCTTTGTACTCCTTATTTAACTACTGGCTTTTTACCTACGCGTGAAAATCATCACACGCTAAGTATATACTTAGTGAGGCAATTATAACAATAAACAGTGCAATATCATTCTTGTATGAATTTCAATTTCAAATCAAATGCCATAAAACCATGCTAATAGCATATCAAATATTTTACCATGATCAAAATATCATAATTGAATATAAAAATATTCTTTCCAATATACTTGCCATTCATTCCATAAACTCGTAAGCTTATTTTCATAAATTACCATTTATTAACTAATAAACCATAAATCGTAGACAATAGCCCAGTATAAAACCCCGAGGACCATGGGTACACGAGTCAACTATAAGCACCGTAGTGTTATCCCGTATGACACATAAGGTCGTGTCCACCATATGTACTAGGTATCCTTAAGTACAGTCTCGTATGGCACATAAGGTCGTACCCACCATATACACTAGGTATCCTTTAGTGTATCACGTATGCAGCCTTCTGCTGGACTCTATGGCATGCCAACTATACCATGTCCCTCAATGACTTACTTGGGCATACAGTCTATTTTATTTGATCAATCTATGGCAAAGTATATTATCAATATTTAACAATGGGGCAGTTCATACCCGAAATAACATTCATGGTAAAAATATCTCATTTTCATGATCAATGCATTTTAATTTCATACTCTCACATATCAATGTCAATTTATAAAAATGATATAAAATCATGCCGATATAAATAAGGTCGACTTATCGCAAGTCTTCCTGATGATGTATAAAACATCCATGTATAATTTTATGCATGTATTGCACTCACCTTGACACTTTATATAGTCCACAATATGATCCTCACTAATTGTCCACAATAATTCCTTTTCTATTTGACTTGCTTTGATCACAAATCAATCACAATCTGTATTAAATTACAAATTCATATCAATTCTTATGTTAGTATTGTACTAACATAAACACATCCCAAAAAATTCCATAATATACTTGGAACTCATTTTCTACCAGTATTTAAACACTTAATAATTTCTTTTAACATTTGAACTAACTTTTCCAATTACCTAAAATGGTCCTTCACCATTTTATCATATACATTCAATTAAATTCCCATTCAACAATTTCCAGCATAGTACATCGATTATACAACACTTATACAAAAACCCCTCAATTTCTAGAATTTACGAATTGATCTCCAATTTTTCAAAAAATACTAAATAGTCACCAAATTTTGTAAAGCTTGTAGAATACTTGAATATGAATCTACAACATATAAGTCATCAAGATTTATCATCAATTTCATGAATCCTATCATGAACATAAACCCTTAGATTTGGGATCTTTGAATTTCAACAAGATTAGAAAGCAATATTGTACCAAATGATAGCATTTTTCACTTAGATCACTTTCCTATCTCACAACATAACTCCAATTCCAAAGGAATTAGCTCAAAAATGGAAAATAAAATATTTTCTTACCTTGAAAGCTTTCTCACGTCCATGGAGAAGAGAAGAACACTTTGGCATGATATGTTTGATTGATATCATGCTTATCATCCTTTAAGAAAAAATATTTAATCATTAACTTAGAAAATACCAATTTACCCTTAATAAAACTTTATAATCACCATTAAACCAAGATACATATCCTTATCATCTTCAAAATCACATAAATATCAGCCTTGTCATCTTTCAATATTCAAAGATGAATAAATTAATTTTTCACTTTACCATTTTGCCGTTGAAATTTCAAAAATTTACAATTCAGTCACTTGAATCAACCAGTTCAACTTAAACATGAAATTAAACATAAAATATTATTTTTCAACATTTTAAAAATGTGAAAATAATATTTTTATTTCTTATTTTCGTGACCCATTTGTAATTTTTCCAAAATCACATTTTGGTCCTTGAACTTTTCAAAGTTTATACTTTGATCACCAAACTTTACCAAAAGTATAATTTCATCACTTAATAAATCCATTTATGGAATAACATTCTTTTTGAGAAAATTACCACTTAATTCCTTAAACTTTTCCCAAATTTTCTACTTTGACCATCAAACTTTCAAATTTTACATTTTGGTCATTATCTAATTTTTTGGGGTATTACATGATCTTTTAAAACAGTAACAGTTTAAAGCATATTTTAAGACTATAATAATACTCTCCAACCGAACACCGATATGCAGTTCCCCATAACTACATCTATAAGGACTTACCCTAGGCTCATTGGGCGTAGGAGCCAACCTAAGAGAGTATTTTGGGGCCTGAGAGTCTACCCAAGAGTGTTACCTAGTGCCTAAGAGTCTACCCGAGGGAGTACCTTGGGGCCTTAGAGCCTACTTAAGGAAATACCTTGGGACCTCAAAGCCTACCCAAGTGTCACCTTAGGTCCGTAAGGATTTGCCAGCTTGATCAGAGATGAACCTTCATACTCCAGAATCCTACCTAGACAATATCCCAATAAATCGGTCCATACAATAAACAATAGATTCCATGATCCATAAATCATGCATGATTATATTTTTCAGTGAAAACAAGTAACCAAATAACACATATCATGTAGCCATAGCTCATAAACAGTATATCACTAAATCATTAATATCGAACAGTTAAAAGATTCAATAAAAATCATATTTCAGAACAAATAAAATAATCATATAGCACATATGGAACACACTAGAGGGTCCAATTATTTTCCAGAGGTATCTGGTATTTATCAGGTAAGAAATCATGAAACTTCTATAAATTAATATAATTTCATAAACAAGATCCCTATTAAAAAGAATTCGATAGCTAATAGATTAATCAGTCATTCATAAAGCAATACATCAGGATCATTTAGTATTCAAATATATCTGAAGGGTATTCAAGAATTGTTGTATCAGAATTACTTAAGATTCGGATATTCCAGGGGTGATTCCGTTAATCAGATTCACAAGGGCATTTTAGTCATTTTAGATCTATGAAATATTTTAGTATTTAACTCAATAAAAGTAAAACGATGATTTGCAATATTCCAAATTTGTAACAAATTATCGGCTTATGAGTCTAATCAAGCTAAACATTCTCATCATTTAAATACTTAGCAAGACTCTGGTAGGAACACTTTATGGATATTG